TGCTGCTAGAGCGATATGCTGCTGCTACGAAGCATCTGCTGCCATTGCTATTGTTGCCGTTCCCTGCGAGGAACGGGGATCCCCGCGAGGAATGGGGATGGGGGAAAAATCTGCACCCCGTAAAAAATCCCTGCGGGGATCCTCGTCCCCATGACTCACGGGGACGGGGATGGGGAAGGGGTCCCCGGCCCCGCGGGGCCCCGTTGACATCCCTAGACGAGAGGGTGTATTGGGCAAGGTTTTCAAAACTGAACCAGAGGTCAAACCGTTTTGACCTTTGGTTCATGGTTCTAACGGTTGAATCGGTTTAACTGGTTAAAAAACCAAGTTGATTGAATTTTGGAAGTATATGTTAAATATAATATAATGTAATTTTTTGCAAAAGGAAAGAGATAGCTCTAGTGATTGGAATGCTTGTTTATGTTATATAGAATTACAGTTCGAATCTCAAATGTGTCAAATATATTCATTTATATAATTTTATAATAAGAACCAATAAACTCGATTTATAGTTCGAATCTCAAATGTGTCAAATTTATTCATTTATATAATTTTATAATAAGAACCAATAAACTCGATTTAGATCAGGTGGAAGAAGTTACTCTAAATATATAAAAGGGCAAGTGTTCGAATCTCGTAATAATGACTATGAGTATTTCCTTTAGTCTTGTAATATTCTTTAAAATATAGTCTTTGTTATTCATTTCGTGAAAGGTTCAATGGCTCTACTGGTAAAAGAGTTGTCCAAACCTAAGGAGGTCTCATGTTCGAGACCTAACGGTAACAACAAACTTTGTAAATTTTCTCTAAATAATTGGTCTAAATAATTGGCCCAATCGGTTGGATGGTTTTTTGGTTCTTACTGGTTTGGATGGTTTGGACGATTTTGAGCGATTTAACCCCTAAACGGTTTTAAGCATTAACTTGAACCGTTTCCATTATCATGTATCGATCTGATCGGTTCAACTGATAGGTCCAATCCGACTTTTAAAACATTGGTATTGGGCTCTAATGGCACAAACCTACTTTTTAGTTCTTTCACTTTAATAAATTTATAGGTTGTAGCCATTATTTTACATTATAATATTTTTAACATTTTACCTTAATAAGTTTATAAATTTTAATCTCTTACTTTATAATATGATACTTTTAACTCCTCACATATATAAATAAAAAAAATAGCCCCCATTTAACATCAAGTTATAATATTTTATAAATTCTATTAGTTCGGTTAGTTAACTGTTAACTCTGTTAGTTGATTATTAGCATCCGTTAGTATTCTGTTATAGAAAATATGAAATTTAATTTTATTTGTTAATTCTGTTAATGAAATACTAACGAAATAGTTAGTTAACAAAGTTAACAGCCAACTAATAGAGTTAATAGTTAGTTAATAAAACTAATAAAACTTTATAATTTGATCATAAATAAGAGTTATTTTCTTCGAATTTTATAGATGAGGGGTTAAAAGTGTTATAGTATAAGGTGAGAGGTTAAAACTTACAAATTTATTAAGATAAAAAACTAAAAATGTTATAGTGTAAAGAAGGATTAAAATCTATAAATTTATTAAAATAAAAGACTAAAAAGTAAATTTTAACCGGATTGCAATTGGAAGGACTCGGCAGATTTAATTTTGCTTAACTTTAGGATACCATTTTTTTATATAATTTTTTTTTTACAAATTTATATAAACTCCTTTCGTTTTAATGTTGCCATTTTATATATAATTATTTATTTAATGATATATAAAAATTATATAAAAAGTTATCATTTTATTATTATAATTTAACATATAATCAACTTGAATTACTTCTAAATTTTTGGTATTTGAAAATTTATTTTATTTTGTTATAGAACACAATAGATCCTAATTTTGATTTTGAGATAAGTAAAAATTAAAGACCTTTTGATATTTAGGAATATCAATATTTTTTATAAAATTATTTAAATATACTTAATAAATTTTTGTTGTATTTTTATTTTTAAATTTTTTCGTTATTATTCCTAACATTTTAATTGCTAAAATTTTTTGTAATACTTTTGATTTTTTGAAAATATATACTAATATATATATATATGAAATTAATGCATATCAATTCGACTTTTAAAAAATTAGAGTTTCAACTTATATTTAGAAATTAAAATTTTAATTCAAAATTTATATATCTAATTTATTAATGTTGATACATAGATTTAAAAACTAATTATATTTTTTAAAATAGTTAGTTTTCAAATTTAAATATCAATATTTAATAAGATTAATTTTTAAATTTTAACTTAAATTTTCCTTAAACAAAACAACATAATTTAAAATTAGAATTCTAATTTATTTTAATATGCATTTTTTCCTATATATATTTGCATAATTCAAACAAACTATAACTTCTTTTTATACCTACGTAAAGAAATTTTAACATATTATAGTTGTTTAATGGCAGCATTTCGGATTTATTATGCCAAGTTATTACCTAATGATTTCAAAGTCAATCCAACCATACTATAAAACTTTCTCATATATCATCAGGCCTAAGGCCTCTCACTCAGTGGGTTTAGTAAGACTTCTTTGTAACATTTCTAACAAGTCTTTTTCACACAACACTTTATTTAAAATTATAAAATTTTAATTATTTAAATTTTTTTAATATATTTTTATTAATTTTAATTAATATTTTATATTTTTAGATAATAAAAAATATCTTTATAATACGACATTAATAAATAAAATTATAATTAATATAATTAA